GGGACCCTCTCAAGACCTTACTTGCACTTAGTAACTCTTAATTTAGGATATTTTAAATCAAGACTTGGTATCTAGTTTCTAAAATCATAAAAAAGAAAGAAAAAGTTAGCATAACAACAAAACCATGAATTGGCAGCTGAGAGCCAGAAAGAAGGAAAAAAAATTATATTAAAAAAACCTTAGACATCTCAAATAGTATAGCAGCTGGAGGCTATTAGACTCAAAGTAGATTGTTTACCTCATCATAGGTCCTTGGAGGTTCACAATTATGGGTCAATCTTTAATCTTCAATAAAATTACCTTGGGTTTTAAAATAAAGATTGAACAAGTAAGAAAAATCCAGATGCAACACCGGGGTTATCACAGTTGAGCTAAAAATACTACAGATACTATGCTTAGTGAACCAGACTTACCCCACTTGGTTTCCTCATTAAGGAGTTAAATAGATCTTTGGCATCTGGTCATTCTTTATATAAGAGTTGTGTTTATCTTTTGAAAATTATGCTTTGGCAGTTTGGAGTCCCCAGTGAAATGTTCAAGTGACTCACCCGGCAGAGGTGATTAAACTGTACTGCCCCTGAAGTCTGCCTGATGGGCTGGGGACACGGCACATCTTCGATCTTGGAGTAAAACCCAAATGGCAGTGGTGCTCTACCTTCAGTGGTTCACCATTCTCTGCAGTTTTTATTTTACTGACTCTGTGCTTTTGTGTTTGTTTTTGACCTCTGGCCAAGTTGGACTAGGGTTTCAGTTTGCACAAACAACTGACAGTTATCCCCAGTGGTGACAGCAGGGACCACAATCTGGTTTTGCAGTCTGACCACTGGGTGCCCTGTCACGCAGCAATGAAATCTAGCCTTGGTCAGGTGAGTGATGACAGAGAACGTGACTGTTGGGTTTGCTGTCTGTAATGAGTTTGTTTTTCTATTTATGCATTCAGATCCAGAAAATATTTTTTGACCAATGGCAAGGAAGTCAGTCTTTGGAGATCTGGAGGAGTTAGATTTTGTGTTCCAGTGTTTATCTCTGCTGTATAGTTGAAGCTGTGGGACTTGGGCTATAAGTTCTTTGTCTGTCTCTGAGAGAAAAATTCATCATCTATAGGTGAAATATTTTTCTGCCTCCTGAGGATAATAAATTAATACAGAGGCGTTCTGCTGTTCTGATTGGTTCAGAGAGACTAACAAGTATTTAATCAATCTAACATTCCCCAAATACCAAAATCAGGTGAAATTCTAAAGCTTTAAATGTGTCCTTTTTTTAAAAAAAAAAAAAAAAGATCTTTTTCCTCAAAACTATTGACTCAGAAGAATTTTCCCCAAATTTGCATAAAGTGAATCCTTACACATATCAGATTGTTTTGATAATCTGGTTTAAAAAACAGCTACCATGTTTCCCCAAAAATAAGCCCTACCCCCAAAATAAGCCCTAACAGGATTTCTATGCATTTGTTAAATATAAGCCCTACCCTGACAATCAGACCTAGTGATGGGCATGGCGATGCAGCGTATCTGCATAGCCACGCCATGCATTTCCGCGCAGAGCGGTAAGGAAGACTGGAATACCTTTCATCTGCCACAGCTCCTTTCTCTGAGCAGTTCGCACTTGCACAGGTGCACTTGTGGTAACCATGGTTGCAGGCATCCTATTGTGCACTTGTGAATGGCTAGGGGAAAGGAGTTCACACATCACTAGTGCCAGCCTCACCAACAAGGTCTGCTCCTCCTGTCAAGTTTCCAGAAGAAGATGACTTAACTGTATTTAAATAAATGTAGATTGTCGTATTACACTTAATAAAAATAAGATATCCCCTGAAAATAAGCCCTAGTGTGTCTTCTTGAGAAAAAATAAATATAAGACAGTGTCTTATTTTCAGGGAAACATGGCATATATATTTTCCTTGTTTTATCAGTGCATAATATAATTCAAGTGTAATTTCAATTTTTAAAAGAGTTGGATTTGTTTTCTAACAAAGAAATAATAAAGAGACTAGTTTATCTGAACTTCTTAAATGTCTTACATTATTTTACTAAGATACTTCATTAAGATTAAGACAAATATAAAATTTATGCTTAACTAAACTGAAATATAATTGTGACAAACCTTTTTAAACCAAGAGTAATTATGTTCTGTATATGTATACTGAATACAATTTCCAAATAAAGTAAAATAAAATAAAATGTAATGTAATGTATGACAAGCACCCTGTTAATGTGAAACTAAAATGCAGTAATCTCTACTAATGACAGAGCAATCTTGGAAAAATTAGCCTATGCTTTCAAAAGATAGTAAAAGTTATCCTTCTACATAATCTGCTCAGAACAGAGTTTAGTATTTCACAAGAGGAATTTTTTGGGCTTTATGCTAATTAAGACAAGTTTCTACATATTTAAAATAAAAGGGTTCACCATTCTGAATGCTTTAAGATTTCTTATTTATCATAAAACAATCTATTGTCACGTTATTAATAGTCAAACTACAAACATTCACTGTTCCCCAGGATCTACAATCCCATATTAGTCAATCAGTCTTCCCTGATTCACATTTGATTCATCTGCCTTCTCCAGATCAGACAGACCCCAAATTCAGAAAAAAAATCATTTTCCAAGATACCTTATATTTGAACTACCTCTGGGTAATTACAAAGATTTATTCTTTAGCCTTACAAAAAGAAAGATGCTAGAAATAATTACACTCACTTATTACTGCCCTTAGTTTTAAGTAGCCCATCCCCATCAAAAATTCTGTAAGAAAATTTGTCAAATCTAATGAGAAGCTCAGGCTTCCTGAGGATCATTTTGTACAGGTAAGAGATTATTACAAATAATTTTCAAAGATTGTGTGCTTTACAGAAAGGCCCCCAATATTTCAATGCCCTTACTCTCTGTAAGATGTTCTTACCCTCAAGGGAAATACTGATTAAATAAGATTAACGTCTTATACCCTAATAAAGGATTTTACCTCTCCATCCTGCTGATCCTGTTTACAATAGCACTTATGCTTACTGTACCTTTACCATGTAGTCTCTACGTATCTTTTGCATTTGCCTACAGACTACAATATGTCTTTACCAAAGAAAGACAGCTTCAGAGGCTTGTGCAAAGGACTTTATGAGGTACTCTTAAGCCCTGATACTTCAAAGAATAGACCTTCAGATAGAGGCTTCTGAGCTGACATTGCATAGACAAGAATGAGACCATACTAGCCAGCTAAATCAGAATCTGTCATCCCTTGAGAAGTTGTTTCATGACTAAAAGTTTAAAAACAATTAAAATTGCGAATATGTTTTCCCTTTGACTGGGATATAATCAGACCGACTATACCAAGGCCAAGCCTAGAGTGTTGCATTTTATATGCCCCCATTAGGTGTGACAAGCCCACTTTTAAGGACAAGGGCTTATAACTTTGTATTTAGAGCAATACCCACAAAGCTCTCCCCAAAAGTTGAGTCTGTTTGTGACTTCCACAAGCTTAGTCTTACAGGTAGTAAAGGTCACTTCTTGGATTGCTAAAAAGCTTAGCAGTTTTAGAGGATCAGGAGGACAGAGAATTTGCCAGCATTTAACACTAAAGCTGGAACCCAGAGAAGGTGAATTTCTTGAGTTGCCCACTGTCCTTGGAATAAAAGAGTAAAAAGGAGCATGCATTTAAAGAAAGATCTCTAGAGCGATGGAAGCCATTGAAAAGGCTCTCCTAGAGTCCTTAAGACATTATCTATTTAGAAGTTAATTCTCTGACCTTGTTAATAATACTTACCCAGCACAATATAGCACTGTATTTTCTGTTCACATACAAAAAAGCTTTTATATACTAATTTAAAGTTCTCCTGAATTTATGTCAATGAATCAAGCCAAAACACAATGCCATTTTGTGACCATGAATAATCTCTTTATAGACTATTTATGTTAACAAAGGGGAATCTCATACGGACAGACCATATAACTGACCTATCCAAGGAATATCTAATTTTCTAGGGGTATTGCATATCTGTTTTCATTCATTATTATTGGTCAGGACATTTGAAAGCTCTGTAAGAACAGACATCAACTTATCAAAAATTATGAGTGATGCAAATTATTCTTGCTCTAAAATACCAAACGTTTTCTGTCCTACAAAGATGCAAATGGTTTCCATCCACCATAAGCCAAAGGTTATAATTTTTTGTCCTGTAGGGCATTAACTAGTTTTGCATGTGATTCAAAAATCTTATTCTGCCATACTTTTTTTTTTAGTAAATAAAATATTTTTGATAATCTTGTACTTTTGTAAACCAGCTTTGCCATCTGAGGCTTTTCGCATTAAGGAAATCATGAATCAATCATTAATGAATCAAAATAATCTCTGACATACTCATTGTAAAAGAAAAAATTCTGTGCTTAGAAGAAAATGAAAAAATGCAATTGTTTGTTCTCATTCATGAACGGGACTCCCAAGGGATGTCTCTTACTGTCTTATTTTTCCAGAATAAGCATAAATTCATTTTAAATGGAGAAAGACAACTCAATAAACTTTAGGAAATGTGGCAGAAAGGTTGACCACCATGGAAAAGCCTTCAACTTTCCAGGCAATTTGGTGTTAAAACAAATTTGCTATCTAATTCCCAATAGTCATGATTTCACCATCTACTTCTAGCACAACCATACAAATGCAAATTTAATGATATAAATAACACCAGTCACCATTTCCTCATAGTCTTAAAAGATAAAATTTGTAAGACTTGTAAGAAATTCAGTAAAATTAACAACTACATTTGTGAGCCTTCCCAAGAATTTATAATGTGAGAACTGTAGTTAAATTCCTGTAGGCCTCCAAAATACCTACATGTGCCTAATAATAGTGATCGAGGAAGAGGAGGAATAGCAGAAGAGTATCTAGGAAGGAAGAGTAGTGGCTGGTGCACATGGAAAGTCTATGCCCCTACGTCATCCTTAGAGTCTGTCTCCAAGGCTACCCTGTGGGTTCTGGTCAATGAAACAGTGAGGTCAACAGATGAAAATTACCAATCGCTCCATCTCCTGCTCCCTGAGTCTTTCCTCCCTCTGCCGCCGGTGATAATCCATCAGGTCATCACGTCCTGAAATGGAGCTAATGCTGCTCTTCCGTTCCCGCAGGACAGGCTGAGGCGTGCCTGAGGCCTGTCTGAGGCTGTCCAAATCAGCCTCATCAAACTCCACAGATCCGCAAGAGAAGTTCCTTCTGGCTGCAAACACTCTGTCTGGCTCTCCGGGAAGAAATGAATGACTTGGACTTGTCCCCGAGCCTGAGTATGAAGCCCTGTCAAAGTCATCAGAAGCGCAAGAGGAAGTGGAAGCCAGAAGCATCTTTCGAGCCACTCGGGGACTGGCAGGGACACTGACGGTGGAACTTACATAAGGATTGCCTTCAGAGGCAGAGGATTTATAAGGTAAAGCCCCTGAGCTTAAAGAAGAAAAATTAAGGTAATTGTCATTGTCTATTAAGCTATGAGGTAGATCCTTTTCCCCAAGTTTTGTTCTTTTGGAATTGCCCAGAGAGTTTCTTGGAGGCAAGCTGAGAGGTGTCAGCTGGTTCTCTGTGGCTTTGTACAGCCTGGGAAGGGATCGGCTGTAGGCTCCCATGTGACTCAGGCCACTGCCCGAGTACTTCCTAGTTCTTACGCTCATGTTTTCAGGTGCTAGCTCTTTGTGTCTAGTCAACCTGGGCTGAAGTGTCAGGTTGTCCTGAATGTTCATTTTCCTAGCTTGCTTTGGGCTTGAAGGCATACTTGCTGCTCCCGATCTGCTGACAGGAAAGGAGCCAGCATCACTCAGAGAACCTCCATTCCACATGGTCAGGAGTGAGCCAGATGCCTTTCGACCTTCCAGGCCTCCAAGAAAGTAGACATTGTCATGTGATTTATTCCTTGAGCTGTATTTGGAATAGGGAGGCTTCTCTGAGAGCCTCAAGGCCCTTTCACCATCCCGGCCAGAGTAAGGATCAAAGTCCACTCTCCCAAGGGGGTATCCGCTGAGGGAGGGTGCAGTGCTGAGTAACGGAGTGGGAGGTTTTATGGAAATAGTTTTGTCAGTTCCATCACAAGAGAACTGCTTGCCTCCCTGGATTTTGGCCAAGGAGGGGCTATTTCTGATACCAGTTCCCAAAGGAGAAGGACTTCTTTTAGCAGGCACAGGTTGTGAGAGGGTTAAATAGGAGCCAGAATAATCTCCATTGGCTTTAAATCTAAGACTGGAAGAGTATTTCTTCGGGCTTGGGCTCTCCATCATGTTTTGAGAAGAATCGTCCTCAAGAGCAGGCACCCCAATATCTTCCTCTAAGCTACCATTTTGTAAATCCAGCTGCTTTTGTGTGTGGCTGTGCTCTGCCATGATCTCGCTGGAATCTGTAAAGGAATAAAAGAGACAGTTTTACTTAAAAAAGATTTAAAAAGAACAGCCCCTTGTCAGGCCTGCCTCTAGGCAAATAACCCTGCTGTCTAACCTCGTGCAACTCACAAACACAAACTCTATTTTACTCTATTTTACTCTTAAATATATTAAAACTGTACTTCAAGTTGAAGAAGCTAAAGACCACTGATCTAGAAAGTTTACTGTACAAAAGAGTACAAATTACTCAAGAGGATAGCAGTGATATTTGAAAGAAACAAATCCCCAACCAGGTCAAGGTGCAAAATTATGCTAGAGAAAAAAACAATTTCCCTTTAGTGTTCGACTCCTTGGAAGACCATCTCCTTCCTGAGTGCCTAACAAATGTCCAAAGGGACAATGCAATAGACCTTTTACCTCTATTAGAATCATTAACCGCTAGGAAATAAAGTCCTAAGGAAACAAAATTTACATTTTGGCAAACAAAAAATTTTGTTAGACCCTGTTCACTAAGGGGTCTGGGAGTTACCTTCTCAACAAGAAGACTTAAGGCTTCTGGACTCAGCAGAAAGAGGCCATTAATGATAGAGGAAAAGGTGTTGCCCAATTTATTGCCACGTGGTCAGGATGGTGAATTTAAAAATATGAAACTGTTGTATCCTTAAAATTTCCTGGTACACAAATATCATCCTTTATATTAAAACCTCTTCTCTAGCAGAAACACCCTTCTCCCTATTGGGTACCTATCAGAACATACCACTTCTTTCAGGTACAGATTAGAATTCTAGCTTTCACAATTCCAATTTTTAAGAAAATATATAGACCCATAAGAACTTGCTTTGGACCCCAGTTTGAACAACATTAACCTAAGAAATTAAAGTTTTGTTTAGGGGCCATGTCTTTGAATTGTAAACTATCACAGCAAACAAGAAGGCTTTTATTTCTAACTGATAAGAAGATTTTCCTTAGATTATAAGCAAAGAGAAAACACAACTTAAACAATCTCATTGAACTCATGCACCACTAAAACTGTCCTCAAACCCTGATGCACCTCAGACACTCATTATTTCATCTCTGATCTCTATATGAACACTATCATCTATAGTTTGTAATCAGTTACATAATGTGGTTGTCTCTGTAACTAGTCCATGAGTTTAAGGAAGAAGGTTATGCCTAGTACTTCTATGTACTACACCCCCACTTGAGATTCCCACTATACCATAGGTAAGAAACTCAATGAACATAAGTTTTTAATTTTCATCACACTCTTCCTCACTCACTCCCAGCCACGGATAAGGGCCTTTAATCACCTTGTTCAGCCCCACAGACTCTCTGGGCAAATTCAGGCAGACTCACAAAAAACTGCTTTCTGCTAGGGTCAAGAAATAGCCTGGCTGCTTACCTTCTTGTTATGGGTTAAATACACAACTGCCTATAAAGGTCCAGCATCCTCCAAAATACTCTACCATGGTTGGGTTTCTTACCATTCAATCCAAAGCCCTGCCTAGATGGATACAAGCATAATTTATTTTTTTAAGTACACCTCGAAGAAAATTGAGGTTCTTCATTCCCGCAGCTGGCATCTGGTCCTGCCATCTAGCTCTTGCCAAGTCTTTCATCCCTCAGGGACAGTGTCCTCTCTGCCCCCAAGACAAATGTCTCCCTTCTTAGCATGTCCACTGCTGCTAAATCCGACCTTGAAAGCAACGCTAGTGTGGTATGAGCCATAGCTCCCCAGGTCCCCTGGGAGGACTGGAACTAAAATGACTCCTAATCTTGGCCCTTTCTATTCCAAATTAACTTCACCTTTGTTTAGCTTGCTGTATTGAAATTCCAGCAAAAGTTGGCTAATTTTCTTAAGTTAGATATTTCAGAATTGAGAAATAAGGAAATAGATGGATCCTAAGGACATTATAGTCTTATTTATTGTAACAAATTCTTCAAAATAAGGGAAAAAATGAATAAGCTATATACATTATATGAGAGATTAGTACATAACCATTTAAAATCATATTTGGAAGTACACTTTGTAGCATAAAAAGTACATTCATATAATTTTAAGTAAACTCTTTTTTTTTTTTGAGACACAGTCTCACTCAGTTGCCCTGGGTAGGTGCCATGGCGTCATAGCTCACAGCAACCCCAAACTCTGGGCTCAAGTGATTCTCTCCTTTTTTTGTTTTTGGAGACAGGGTCTAACTCTTGCTCAGGCTGGCCTCGAACATCTGAGCTTAGAAAATCCATCCACCTGCCTCGGCCTCCCAGAGTGCTAGGATTATAGGCGTAAGCCACCACACTCGCCTTTTTAAGTAAATTTTAAAAGGAGTACAGTTTTTTTATGTAGAGTCCTTGCTCATGCACATGGATTACACACACACAGGTAGATCTGTGTACATGACACACACAGGGAGTGCAGTTTCATTAAACAGTTTACCCTTGAACAACATGGGTTTGAGCTATATAAGTCCACTCTGATAAAAACTTTTGTAAATAAATGTACTGAAAATTTTTTGGTTATTTGTGACAATTTGAAAAAATTCACAAGCTCAGTGGCTTAGAAATATCAAAAAATTAAGAAAAAATTAAGTATGTCATGAATACATAAAATATATATAGATGCTAGTCTATCATTTTCTACCATAAAAATATACACCATAAAAATATAAGAAGCTAAAAGATATCAAAATGTACACATTCACAGACTATACATGATGCTATTCACAGGAGGGAAAAATGTAAACAAACGTAAGGATGTAGTGTCAAAATATAATTGCATAAAATTAACTGTATTCCCCACTATATTACTGTAATAATTTCATAGCCACCTCCTGTTGCTATTAAGGTGAGCTCAAGTACTGCAAGTATCTACTTAAAACATAGTGAAGATAACCATCTCCGTGTGAACAGTTTGTCTCTCCAGCAAATTGCCTAGTACGGTAAAAAGTGATCTCTTAATTAGCTCTCATGTATTTTCATCATGTTTAGTGCAATATTGTGGCCTTAACATTAGTGCCATAATAACTAGTCAATAATGTTGTACAGTAATAGCCTTGAACATCACACAATGGGATCCATACCAACTGCCCCTAGAGATACTGGAAGTGGTTTCAAGAAACAGAGTAAATCCTACAAGAAAAAGTTGAGTTACTTAGTATGTACTATGGATTGAGCCTGCATCTTCCAATGTCCACCATTTCAAGATAAACAAATCCAGCATAAAGACCACTATAAGAAGGAAAAAGGAAATTTGTTAAGTTACCACTGCCTGTATGCCAACAGGCATGAAAACTTCACACTTTTTGTACAATGCTTTTTTAATCTCATATTGAACATGCAGCTTTTATGTGGGTTCTAAGTATGATTCTAGATTCATCAGATTTGAGAAAAGAAGTCCTTATATGAATACTTAAAGCAAAAAGATATGAAGGATTGCAAGCTGGAGACATTCACGACAGGGAAGGATGGTTTGATAATTTCAGAAAGAGGTTTGGCCTAAAAAAAGGTCAAAATAATATGAGAAGCAGATTTTGCTGACCAAGAAGCAGCAGATGGGTACCCAGAAGCCACTAAGAAAATGATTGAGGACAAAGGAGATCTGCCTGGACAAATGAAGGCAAAAGTGTCCTATTTTAGAGAAAAAAATGCCACAAAGGACACTGATTAGTAAGGAAAAGTGAAGTGTGCACTAGGATTTAAGGCAGGAAGGGAGACTCTAACTCTACTATTTTGTGCAAATACAGTGAAGTTCATGATCAGGATTGTCTTTATCCACAAAGTTGCTAAACCCCAAGACTTGAAGGGAAAAGATAAACACCAGCTGCCAGTCTTCTGGTTATAAAACACGAAGGCCTGGACAACAAGAAAGTTTTTCTGGTTGGTTCCATCAGTGTGTTGTCCTTGAGTCAGTAAGTACCTTGCCAGTAAAGGACTTCCTTTCAAAGTTCTTTTGATATCATGTAATGCCGTTGGTCACTCAGAACCCCATGAGTTCAATACCAAAGACTACTTGTCTCCAAACACAATGTCTCTAATTTATCCTCTGGCTCGAGGGACATAAGGACCTTTAAGACGCATTACCCATAGTACTCTATGGAAAGGAATGTCAATGCTATAGCCAAGCACCCCAATAGAGGGGACATCATGAAGGTTTGGAGGATCATCTGATTGACAATACCATCATCATTTAAAAAAAAGTTGTGAAAATGATCAAACCTAGAATAATACATCCCTGCTGGAGAAAACTGTGTCCAGATGTTGTGCGTGATTTTATAGTATTTATACAACACCAATCAAGGAAATCATGAGATTGTGGATATGGTTTAAAAAGGAAAAAAAATAAAGGTAAAGGGTAAAGGGTTTCAAGATATGCTTCTTAGAGAAATTCAAGAGCTGGTAGAGACCACTCCAGAGGAATTAACAGAAGATGACTCTATGGAGATGAGTGATTCTGAACCAGCCCCAAAGAGGAAGATGACACAGAAGATCAGGGCCAGGAAACAAACTGACATCAGACAACCTGGCAGTGGGTTTCAGTCATTCAACACTTTTGATTTCTTCTTTTTTTTTTGAGACAGAGTCTCACTATGTTGCCCTCAGTAGAGTGCCATGGCGTCACAGCTTACAGCAACCTCAAACTCTTGGGCTTAAGCGATTCTGTTGCCTCAGCCTCCCATGTAGCTGGGACTATAGGTGCCCACCACAACACGTGGCTATTTTTTTATTGCAGTTGTCATTGTTGTTTAGCTGGCTCAGGCTGGGTTTGAAACCGCCACCCTGGTGCATGTGGCTGGTAGGCACTGAAACTGAAGCAAACAGTAGCAGAAGGACTGCTACCATACAGAAACATTTTTAGTGAAGTGAAAAGCAAAAAGTTCAGACAGAAATTATAATTCATTTCCATGAAGTCAAAACTCGTGTGCCTGCCTCTCCTGCCTCCCATTCATTACACTCCCTCTACCTGGTCACCCTGGAGACGGCAATACTAACCCTTCCTCTTCCTGATTTTTTCAGCCCATGC